CACCATCAACCCAACCCAATTGAAGTCTTTAATGTAACTTATAGGATAAGATTCCATGACTGCAACAGCATGCATATTGGTAAGAACTACAGACATCTTAATATCGGAGTAGCGGAACACCTATGCGCAATCCGAAACTGTTGTTCTGATGGGCAGTCATAGATTCAGATGGGTTTATTGAACGGTGTGACGTCAACGAAAAGATTGGTTTGGCAATTCGCAGAAACAACACCAGGCTAAGGCTGTTCAAAACGAAACATTTTTTTCAGTATTGCATAGAAAAACTGCAGATGTGCAAGGCATACCCTACTTCTGCTCTGCCATTTTTTGGCTCGTCTTTCCTGAGCATTTTGCCTTGACCTTAGAAGGAAAATGTTCTCGTGATTGTTGAAGTGTCTCTGATCCTCATTTTGAACACGAGGATAATCATACACAACTGTCATTGCTTTGAAGCTTTTAGAGAGCCGCGCACAAGGTAGCAAGCCTGAGCCGGTCAAATGCGATTGAAAAGATTTAGTAGCTCATGTCAGCTTTTATCTTATCCAATGATTTTCGCATTTCATTGATTGAATGCAATTGTCACTTCAGCCATCATAAGAATACTTTCCTTCCAAAATTCACATCAGACCACTGCCAAAGTCTGTACAGACTGGAACAAACCGTGTACTATGTAAGAATATCCTTCTTGCGGGTTAGAAGGTTTTCGTCCTAATTCCTCACAGCTAGGAACGGCCATCTGAGTCAGAGTTTAATTTTCCTCAGAATGATGCAAGCTCTTGTCTTTGCAAGTTTCCTTGCTTGAAACTTTCCCTTAAGGGATGCGTAAATAGGACGAGACCCTCTTCGTAAGCCAGGTCAGATACATCTTCTTTCTCACACGAACTGCGTCATTTCCTGTTTTTCAGATGCAACATCTATTCACAAATAATAAATGATCTGTAGGATAGCTTAGAATAGAGCTCATAGCTCTATAGCGCATAACTTATTAACAACTGCTTTCCTTGCAGATGAACCGGAACGTAACATATTGGTTCGTCGCTGCATTGACCGAAATGCTTTTGATTCAAGTTGTGATCGCCAATAGCAACGGTACAGCGAGAGGCAGAGAGAAGCGGCAGGCAATTCGACCATTCCCTATGACCAGAGAATTGAGTCCAGGCGTGGTGGTCCATCTGGGTCCATCGGGTGTGAACGCCATACGCCTAACAATGGCAAAAATGATCACCACTATGCTGCCTAATCTGAAGATCCGGAAGGTGTTCCAGGGTCGTAAAGGTAGGAAGAACATTCTAGTGACGGATTTAATCGTCCGAACATTTAATCCGCCGGATGACATTGTGATTGACTTCAGGTCTGACTCGCCGAATCAGATGATAATCAGCATCAACCCTTTTGATCTGACCGCGACGATGAATATTCGGACAGACTATCGTTTCCTGAAATTTGCGACGTTTCATTTGTCGTTCAATCACGTCTCTTTGATGTTGGGTCTGCGATTCATGGCGTCACAGCATTCCATCATGCTTCTGGCAGTCGGCGAATGCGAATTCGTGTTGAAGGACTTTCGGCTGTCCTACAGTAACCTAGTCGGCTCGAAGGGGCCCTTGAAACTCGCGTTGCCAATTATTCGCAATAAGCTGAAGAGATTCATCAACGAGAATTTTTGCGGAATGTTACGGAATGGTACAGAACTATCGTTCAACACATTCATTCGACAGTTTCCGGTGTTCATGCCCATTGTACCGAACAAACATTATCTCCCAGTGTACCGTCGTCCACGAAGTATCGGCTTATTGGGATACGACCATTTGCCAACCATGGCTGAGAAGTTTGTGAACATAGCAAAAAGGCTGTTCATGGACGTGCGAATGCTAAACAATCCGATCGTCGTCGACGACGTGCAAGGAAAACACCTAGAGGCGACCCTCTCGGGCAGAATATTGTGGAACCGGGTCAAAGGTGCGCCGTTCAATCCTAACCCTTTGCCTGGCATCGCTACTCAATCAAATAAGATGCTGTACATTTGCATTAGCGAATACGTTTTCAATTCATTGCTTTTCCATCTTTTCGATCATGGTTTGTTCAACATAAAATACGATGGCAGCGAGTCTAAGGAGACCAGAATGATGCTGCGTACCTCGTGTGACGATATTTGCATTGGTTTAATCGTGCCTCAAATGGAAAAGAAGTACCCGAACCAGCATACCGTTTTCAAGATGAAGATGATCAAACAACCGTTGATTGAGCTCAGGCCGTACGGAATGATTTTAAAGATACATGGCATTGCTAGCTTCGTCCTTGAAAATCGGACCCACTATGTCACCTTGTTGTCCGGTGATATGATAGCCGAATCTAAGTTGCACATGAAGCTAGCAAAGGACCAAGTATACGGCACGGCTGAAATAATCAAATTTTCCTTCACTCCTGACAAAAGTATGAAACTGAATTCACTTTCGTTAGACATCTTAAACGACGCTCCCAGAATACTGGCCGAGAAAGAATTGAATAACTTGCTGAGCAAAGGATTCAAGATTCCTCACATCCCAATTATGAAGTTGTTTCCGAATGGTATCATGCCAAGTATGAACTCCCTTCTGGTAGAAATGGACTTTAGCTTGAACCCAAGCTTGAGTCATATGCTGATGCAGTACATGAGAAGCTATTACGCATCGCCACGGAGGATATGAACGGCTTACCATGAAGTGCGACTGGTTTCTGCCAAAGCCGATGAATTGTTTGTGGCAACGCTCAGCTAATTTTTGTCTCCTATGAATATTGTTTTTGGAAATTTTGTTTTATACTGATTGCATGTACTAAGTTTAAACCAGTAAATAGTTCACTCAGTTTTACAACTAATTGCCTGCAAGGTCAAGACCAACAATTATATGCTATAAGAGAATCAGATAACGAATAACTCCACTAGATTTCACGGAGACATGCACCATTCCCTTACTTCTAGAAGAAACAGCTCTTGAAACACCGTTCGTACTTAATTAAAAATCTGACCGGATTCCCTGTAGCGATCAGTAGGCGTGCTTGCGAACATATGTGATAGATGGCCAGTTGCCACCTATCCAGTTAATGGCAGGTGCTGCGTCAGAGTAAATAGTGTTACGCTGAGACCTTTTTGGCACTGATCTCCGCCAAGGTTGATCTCTGCCCATTCTCGTGTTTGTGCTGTGCATGGATAGAATAGAAGAACGTAGCCAGGGCGGCTAGTGTATCAGCGTTGGATATATGGTGACAAGAAAGTTGCTGTTTGAAAACGACCTTGTTTTATTGGCATCTTCCTAAACTGATCTACAGTGCTCCCGGGAATGGTTCGCAATCGAGTGACATGACTGACATGCTTTTGAATGTTTCTAAAAAGAAAAATCTAGTGCTTTCTCGTTCTGTTGCCCGTTGCTCTCTTCAGTGGAGCAGGAGAAGAGGTTAACTTACCTCAGTGTGATGTTTGCTGGTGATGGAAGTTAGGAAGAAGATATTCGCAGGCAAAATAGAATGGCCAGCAGCGTCTCGCGTGAACTAGCCTGAACCGTTGTGACTACGGCAAAGCTGAGACTGAAGACTGTGGTCTCTGTATTTAATTCGGTGTTGATCTCGATGTGCTAACCTACTATCAAAATAACTCGTTAACCACCGTAAGCTGCGTTACCGAGTACAAGAGGCCTGAAATGACGTTTCTGAGACAAATCGCTGGCTCCAGGAGTCTCGACATGGTCCAGAATACAAAACTCCGCGAGAGCCTTGATATACAGCTGCTTCCTCTTCAGATTGACAACTCACAGCTGTGCTGGATTGGACACGTATTGCGAATGTCTTCAGAAAGGAAGGCTAAGCAACTATTATTTGCCCAACTGACCGACCGAAAACTCCGGGACAGCCACGAATAACTGAAGCAAGTGAATGAAAGGACTTTGCTCCCGACTGTAATTTTCTCCTGCCGAAGTTCAAATGCTGGCACAGGGTCGGGAACGTCGGAAACATGGGTCTGTCTCCGCGACTCCAAAAGGATAAGCAGTCATGGAAACTGCCTGATCGGCGAAAGTTCCATGATCTGCTCTAAAAGTGCTTTCGAGGGAGAGACTAAATTTTGTAATCAATACGGATAACTACCTGCAATTACGTAAACTCTGACTTTCGATGAAATGACTATGCGCTGACTTAACGCCCACGAATTGATACAGATGTCTATCCGTTAATAACATCTGCTGACTGCGCGCTGTCGTAATGACTCACAATCAAATCTGAATCTGAAATTCATTAATTTGACAACTGCGTCATATACTAATATATAACTGATAGGCTGATTCACGCAAATGATAACCTGACCATTGTCCAGTCATACAGAATCAATATGGTGGCCGCAGGACTGAGCATTGAAAAGGGCAGCGGTCTGCGCCAAAACATCATTAACTGGATTCATTCAGAACAAAGTATCATATTAAATTTAAATACATTTATAATCATAATTTTATGGTGGTTTTCAGTAAGCCACCGTTGACTCAAGGCGAACTACAGCTGTACAGATGAATCATGCAGAATAGAAATAAGTATCGCGGGCTATAGCATGATCACACGGGAATATGATGCTGCCCCAATCGTTCGCAGATCAGCTGCTGTTACCTATATCTCGACTAGTTTTTCGCTGAATAGACGAGCCTTGCTCTAGGGAATTGGCGACTAATAAAAAATTCAAGAAACACAACAGCCGTGCAAGAGATTTTCAAATCACTCCATTGGGTAAATCATATGCTGAATGTAAACGGGCAGTGCTCACGTGCATTTTGTTTGCTGACGATATTCTGGCGTTCACAAGGTCTCCGGAAGAACTCTTTAGAAATCCAAGAGGTTACAAAACTGAAAATGGGCCTGCAAAATAATCGTCATATGTAATTGATACATGGCCACATTAGCTGTTAACGCAAATGTAATTAGGCATGAAGTGGTGCATAACAACTTATGTCTGACATATCTGATTTTTACAACGGACAACGTACTCTCCAACATCAAGAATAGACTAAAACTGCCATAAAATTCTTTTGGAGCATTAAAAGTGTTCCCATCTGGAAAATTACCCCCCTTCGTGATTGAAACGGAAGATCTCAAGTCAGCTCGTGTTCGCATTAATAACGCATAGATGCACAGTACCAGCTATAAGCTTGAATGTCTTTCACAAACTGCAGACTGTGCAACGTGGCATCGAAGGCATATGTTGGGAGAAGCAAGGATAAATAGAAAAACTAACCAGTGTATAGATGCTCAAACAGAAACGGAAGGAAAGAGAGCCGGCAACTACTTAAATGTAGTTCTTTCTACTTTCATCATGGAGAGTTTCTGAAGTTCTTCATATCATGAAATTTATGATGGATCGCTGACCTCCAGTTCCATGCCATCAGCCAGGAGTGAATTA